GAATTTGAAATCATGGTCCTCAGTACCACTCATTTCGACGCACGCCACGCCCACTGTGGGCGGGGCTCCGCTTAGGTAATGTATGTTTTTTACTTCTCGAGATATGGTACACCCATCCCAAACTTGACCTGGACCCAGTAGGTTGTTGTTCCGCTTAATACGGAATTTCGTGACAGACGGACAGACAGACAGACTTAGCGCATTATATATAGTAGGGATTTTTTCAAACTACAACCAAGGGAGAAGAAAGTTGTGCATCTGAACGGTGAAGCTTATGGCGTAGAGGAGGTAAGAAAGAGTAGAGGGCTGAGTTAGAAGAATCACTGCCTTTCTTTCACGCCGAGTTTTTCCCTTTCAAACTTTTTTCATAAGCTATCATATTTCTATGCAGTGCGAGCTGGAACTAGGTCTTCCACAAGATTTGAGTGGAAGTACTGGTTCTCAGAGGAAGCACGCATAATTGAGAGGCAAAGATAACCTTGTTGCGCACTTGTGCCGATGTTGCATTTTTTTAGCAGCATCCTGTATTAGTGTGAACAGTCAATTGACATATGCCTCCCTGGGATTTTTTTCGGCTTGCTGAAGCAATTATGAAAGTGGCTTATATATAGTATTAACCGCAAAATGTTTTCATGTAACCGCGACTAGATGTATTCTTACTTTTTATCTCACTCGGATCATTTTTCTTTTGAAGTCGTTATACTGATTCCAGAGAGGTCAATGATGCGATCAAGATGATTATTGCACAGCTAGATTTTATATCTGTTAGGTTCTCCCCTTAGTAATGTCATCTTTCTTTAAATGAAAGTCTCACCTCCTAATCTCGATCTCACAACATCATGCCAGAACCATTTGAGAGGGGTTTTCATTTTCTACAAGCTCTATTCTTCCTTTTGGAATTCGTTCTGAACAAGTCAGGTTTCGGGGAAATTGAAGGTCTAGTCGAGGGAAATAGCCAAATCGGCGACTATCCGCAATTCAGTTTCCCTTATGAAGAAATCAATCATTGATATACTCTGCACTTGTCACACTCTTCCGAACCTTTCGCTATTGGGAGGTCCAAAGAGCCGCGTCGTGGTTTCTTCCGCATTTGCTTTTTTTCGCTGTCATGGTGGTTTTTGAACTAAACTTTTTCTTTTCCGTCTCCATGTTCTTACATCTTATATTACTCGGAAAGTTTTTTTTTATTTATTGATGTGTATGTCTCCTTTTTTCCGCATGAATTAGTTGAATTTGAAACCTTCGTCATACGGTGCCCAGCTGACCGGAAACGACACCGTTCTAAAAGTTTTACCAGTTTTTCCACTGTCTTAGCGGTGGAAATTTCTGCATCAGATTTGGCGAGATGGTGGTCAGTCATCGAGTTTCGGTAGTAAAAGCTAAGCTGAGAAAAAAAAAACGAAAACCTGAAGTGGTTATCTTTAGGCAAGTTTATGAATACGTGCAGAGTAAATCACTGATTTATTTCTTGTAACGAAGAACAGTGTTTGAGTTAGTTGTCGGTTTGGCTAGTTTCTGTCTACTGAACCCCTCCCCCGCCCCCATTTCGCAAGCCTGATATTCGATTCATTCACAACTAGTGTTAAAACAAAATGCACTTTTGCTGGAAGGTAAATTTCTCACAATGATATTTGACTTGACGTAAAAACATGGAGTTCTAAAGGAAAAATTTCTGGTGGGGAAAGCGACATTACTATCGGACCACTTAACACGTAAAGCGAGCGGTGACAAAAAAAACCATTATCCTTCTGCTCGCTATGATAGGGGGTTATCTGAGAGGAGGTCCGTCGCACTACAACAAGGCAGAGACGCAGGCGGATAACCGGACGAGTATTGTATGATGTGGGACGTACTATTAAACATTCTATAATTTTAAGTTGACTTAATCGCACCAACTCGTCCGCTGACGGGTCTGAGTCTCTGCCCGAGACGGGCCTTCTGCCAGTTACCCCGATTGGTGCGCACCGGAAATGTGGGTTTAATTACGGCAGAGCACAAACCCACCTTAGCAGCTCGAAGAATCTATTCGCCCCCAGGCAAGATCTTGGCCATGGTGTCTTTACTGCGTTGCGTTTGCTCATTGTTCCGTGACGATGGATCCATACATTGATTCCTCTATAGAAAAAATGCTTAGCCGATGCAAAAAGATGTGTAATTCATTCTGCTTCTTTTTTGATTGAATTTTACTTCATTTTCTAAATAGAGACATACACATGTGTAGGTGTCCATTTCCAGATATTGATAGGATTCGCTCCAAGAAACAGTGTCCAAGAAGTTGCAAAAGAGCAAGGCGTAGGCGGCGAAAGAATTCAGCAGGCTGATTTCCAACTGAATTGAGCCAGAGCTTGATAAGTAAGCTCTGCTCGATTCGGGTGCGAAACAAGAAGCTTCCTTCCTATGGTTTACAGTTTCAAGAAAGAAAAATATCTTAGTTTTTGTCCGATGTCGTTAACGATAAAGAGTTGAAGCTCTTGAATGATTGCGGATAAACTGGATGAGGCGGGTGAGGTGTGGTTAAGCAACTCTGGGAAATTTGGTATGGTGCTTCTTACGCTGAAGAGGAGCTCGAGGTAAAATATTGTGGACCTTGAAGAAACTTGCGGAAGATTCATCTTCGTTGTCAGCGGATTTTGCTGAGAACTGATTGCCAATCACTGTAGCTTTTGGTAAATTTGCGAATGTTGTTTTCGGATTTGCAAAAAATTTGTGAAAAACACATACCACGCGAACTGAAGGCGTGGTATCACTGGTTGCGAGCGACGAAATTCTTCATGGGCGGTATTCAATCCTTCCCCCAGGGGTTGGGGGACGGAAATCCCTTTAAATTTATTTGTTTTGAACGATGTAGTTTCTTCATTTTCAATGCATGTTACTTGACATACATACATACATTAAATGTAGGCCCTTTATCAGGACAATCCCAGTTGGGAAGACAGAGAAAATTCAAAGGGATTTCCGTCCCCCAACCCCTGGGGGGAAGGATTGAATACCGCCCTATGTCTTTTTGATGTTTTTGATTCATTGTGTACATAACTGCTGTTTTACGGCCGCAGTTAGCGTTGCGAAAATTATCACAAGAATGCTGAGTTGTGGGCAAAACTTTCGCCCCAGCCGGGATTCGTACCCGGATCTCTTGCTTCTCGGGCAGTTGTGTTCCAGTTACTTACACGTTTAGTTGTGTAACCGGTAGGGTAATTGCTCAGAAAGCAAGAGATCCGGGTACGAATCTTGGCTGGGGCGGAAAGTTTGCACACAGCTGAACAGGCTTGTGATAATCTTTGATGGTAATTTTTCTGTGCGGGAAATGGTAATCTCCAAGAAAATCAAATCGATGCAGCTATGCTAGACTATTGTATTCGATATCATGACATATTGAGTTACCAATGGATTCCATGAGCCGTGATTCATTGTCAAGATATGGTGGAGCCTCATACGAAAGGAAAATTCGGTTTCCTAGCTTTTCAAATGACATTAATAATAAGAAAATTTCCGGCGTTAGGTTAGAGTACGTCTAAATATTCAATGCTTGGTTTCAGCGGCCAATTTGACTTCAGTCCGCTGTTAGCGTTAATATCAAGGCTTGCCTTCAAAGCTGTAGCTGGATTTAAACATCAACGCTAGTACTCAAAACTTTTTAAAAATAGAACTTCGTAAGGAATACGTGCTGGTGGTTTTGTAAGCTTAAATTCTTATCATCTAAACGCTGTGAAAAGAGCATGAGAGTTAGGCTGCCTTCATAGTTTGTGGTCCGTGCGGACAGCGCGGACAGGGTGAAAAACGTCAACACGCGCTCTGGCGCACAATGCGTACTTGGCGCGCAGTCGGCGCCTCCCTCGATCGATAATCCTAATAAATCCGTGATAATCCGTGTTTTTTTTGGTGAGAACCTTTTTTCTTTTTGTGTGAATCATTGCTTTTCAACTGTCCTAGAATGGTTAGGTTCATACACTGTGTTTGAAAGTGGCAATAAGCACCAAGTGGGTTCATTAGTAAGCAAAAGCAGTAATCCATACAAAAAGGAAAAGTTTTGGGCTAAACAACCGCAAGAAAAAGCAAAACGGCACACAAAACGTCAAAATACAGAAAAATGTATCGAAATCAGATTATCGATCGAGGGAGGCGCCGACTGGCCGATGTCAGACTTTGCGATTGGAGCGATTTTGCACCAATTGCATGGAGCGACGGATCGCTTGAGCGATCCATCGCTCGGGCCGTGATGTGCCTTGGCCGTTGTGGTGGTCCAAAGTGCGAGCGACGGGAGATTTACCCGAGCGGCGCCGAATTATCGGTGGTCGGCGGTGTAAATCTCCCGTCGCTCCTGCAATTGGTGCAAAATCGCTCCAATCGCAAAGTCTGACATCGGCCACTGCGCGCCAAGTACCCGTTGTGCGCCAGAACGCGTGTTGACGTTCTTCACCATGTCCGCGTTGTCCGCACGGACCGCACGGGCCGCAAACGATGAAAGGAGCCTTGGGCCGATGTCAGACTTTGCGAATCGCGCGATTCGCAAAGTTTGACATAGGCCTTGGCGATTCGCAGGCATAGCACTGTAATGTCAGACGAAATACTCTTCTGCTTGTCTAATACCAATGTGAGCCTCACTTTAAAATGGTACAAATTTTTAAAACCAGTATCTTGAGTTGTCAGGTCCCCAGATTCATGCTTAAATTATAAGATTTCTTCTTTGAAATCAAAAACGACGAACGCAGTCTTCGTTGATTGGGAATAAGTACTGAAGTGAAGTTAAAAGAGCTCCTCTAACATTATTCCCTTTGCGTACGCTATTGTCCAGATATAAAAAAAATACTTCCAATAGATGTATCATGTAATTCTCCTTGGTCTCGTGTCTGCACATGCTCTGCAAGCCTTCTTCATTCATTTTCTAGAATAAAGACATTTTCGTCAGTTGATTTTTGAGAGATTTCTCAAAGTTTTCAGCAGAAGCAAATTGTTTAGAAAGTAGAATTCCAAAAATATTCGGATTATTGCATAAAATAATGGGACAAATGTGATTTCACGCTTCATTTTAATTGAGGCTTCATTATTCCCTGTCAAGGGCATTGCAAATTCTACATTGTTGTCAATTATTCTGTAGCTCTAATTTATAAAGTATATAGGAATCGATGCCAGGAAACAAGGTGCGGACTGCAAAATCTGTACGAAATGCAAAGACGAGGTTTTGAAAATCAGGAACAGCGGGTGAGTTAATGTCGCAATCCTTTTCAATTACTTTTAAGCAGAACTGTCTTTTTCAGGCGATGTATGGTAAAAGTATGTGCCTCGGGTAAGCGTAAGGTTAAAGCGACCAAGGCGATGCCTGCTAAATGGCGTCAGATGGATGATCGACAACGAACTTTCATGCTCGCCCATTTGTCCATTCCAAGGGAAATAGTCAAGTGTTGCGGTCCATGCTTCAAACGGATCTCTAAGAAACTCGACATGGTGAACTGCTTATTCAAAAGTCGAAAATGCTTGCCTAAAATTCAATACTCCAAATTATTTCTTTAAAAGTCTCAAGATATTGTTGGAAGTTTTTCGGCATTGTTGAGTAACACCTTTTGGTGTTACTCAAATTCGTAAGCCCGAAATCAGTGAAATTATTGGTAGTGCTTATTGAACCTATTTAACTGCTCACAGTCTTCTTCTTAACATATCATTTGTAGGTCCTATACAGCTGAAGGCTTATGTTTCTGTTTCAGTTATTTGCGGGAGATCTTCAGAACGAAATGGCCAAGTTCGAGATGGAAATCCACCAAACGTGGCAAAGTGGAGAGGTGATTGATTATTTAAACTCTTCGGATTGTATGATGAATTATCCATATGTTGCACATCTGGTGTGTACATCTGCCTGTAAATTGATGTATACAAATTGCGACTGCATCTGGGCTTGCGCTTCTTCAGCAACTGAAACACACTACGTAGTTCCCTTTTTTCGCAATTGTCTTCCAGAAATATGGGTATTCTTCTTTTTTGTAGATTTGTTTCTAAAAAAGGTGCAACCAATTATTTTAGTAGGGGCTACGCGTAAAAGAGAACCGTGGCCTTTTGTTTCTTGTAATGTACTAAGTTCGCGCTCAGGTATTTAGGGACGCTTCGTTCGTTTAAAAATTCCCTTCCATTATCTCAGGTATTCAAAGTGCGCAATTCGTACCGTTACCTCAACTGGATAGGGTATATGAAAAAAATTCGGTGAGCTAGACCAAACCTTCCACACATTTAGCGAGCCGTTCTTGCCGTGTAAATGTCCGCTGTGTACCATTCCCAGTTAGTATCTCGCTGAAATACACCTGTGTTATACTCAGTCGCCCCAGAAACTGAGTTATTCGTCTCAGTTCGGTATTCGAGAGCCGCCTCTAGTAATCGCGATTTATGGATCCAATCGATGTCGCTCGTGCTCAACTCTTTTATTTCCATGCAGTAGCATAGCAGCTGTGAGCGTCGCATCGATCTGGTTGCAACTGGCATGAAATGAGATTTTCAAGGCATCTAATTGTTATCCTAGATTTCTCGCCTTCAAAACCTTGTCGCTCAGTATGGCACTGACTGGTGCACGATTTCGGGGCAAATGCAGGGAAGAAGTGTGGAGGACTGTAGATTACAGTACGAAGCATTATGCAAGAAGGAAGAAGAAGAGGAGGAAGACTTCGAGGAAGATGCTGACAATTACAAGTGGTTCGTTTATATTTGTGTTTGCTGGATTTTTTTTCCATGTTTTCCTGTCATGCATTATTGCTTTTCGTATAGCCTAGTTGTTTTTTCATTGCGATTGCATTGCTTTGTAGCGATCGTCATGAAGACGACACTGTCATGGAGGAGGACACACAGGATGTCCCAGAATCATCCGTGGTGACTGTCCAAGATGGCGACTTGGATGTTGATATAACCGAAGTACCAACCACTTCAAATGCTACCGTCTTTGACATCACCTCGTTAGATGTAAGTGGAGCGATTTCCAGTTTTCGATTTTTTTCACAACGCCGTAACACGGACGGTAGATCGCACAGTGGCTAAAGCACGGATATCAAAGTCACTGCTGTTTTTGAAAGATATGCAACATTCTTTAACAGTGATAAGCTTCTTGTCTGCAAATTTTGTAAGCGCCATAATCCAAGATCCAGCTCAACTTTCTGCTGACAATCTGATAATATCTAGTAATTTGCTTTTGGCTAGTTGATTCCCACGTTAAGGGTGATTCAACTTACCTGCATGAGTGAGTAACAGCAGCACTTTAGCAGTTACTTTTGTTCTGTAAATTATGTGACCCTTGGAGCATTCTAGTTCAATTATCTTACGCATTTATGATGCAAGTCTTAGGGAATGACCTTATTCTGACGCGTGGGAAGATTGTCGGGGGACGATTTTTGTCGCCGATTCACCTGTAGGGGACAACGTTATGCTGGTGCCCCTCCCTCTTTTCAGTATCTGTACCGATCACTCCTCCCACTCCTAGCACTGCACCCTGGATCATCTTCAACTAGCAAATATTCCGATGATGTAACATGAAAGGGTAGATCACTCGCAAACGAAATGTCTAACTTCGCTCTGGAAAGTTACACATGGTATCGGAGAGTGCCACTGATTCTGATCGGAAATCACAAGCTATCCGGAGCTTGTTTCAGGTGAAGCCGAAGGAAGAACCTCAGCCTCTAGTGGAACAGTCGTCTATTTCTACAGGACTTGTGAAAGGTTCAATAACTGCTGGCACTCCATTTCGCCCTCCATCTGTTTCAATTATTGAGCAACCACCATCTACTTCACAGCTCGCTACGAATGCAGCACCCGCAACGATGACATCACAACCCTCAGTACGTGCATTTTACAGTACATTTATGAATACTTTTTTTCAGCTTCGGAAAATCGTGTAAATGTAGGTCTAAATTAAGGTTTTGAAGTTGTTTCTCCAAACAGTGGTCACCCAGAATTATGAGAAAATGTTTTGTAATCACATATTTCCGGAAGAAACATAACCTTCTCTATTGAACAATCTTTGATCTCTTGATTACGCGGTAGATGACCTACCGTTTTGATTGATAGCGCTCCGCAGTACATCTGTTTTTTCTTACGAATTTATTGGAAAGGCGGGAAATGTTGCTTGTATTGATACTAGCATTCTGAAGCCGTTGCTTCCCAGATGCTCTTCACTTCAGATTCTTATTTTCAAACAAACAATCTACTGGACACTGCTGGGAAATTGGGTTGAACGACCAACTTAGTGTTATTTACTTATCCTGTTCAGTTGACATGTAAACAATATAATTCAAGATCAAAAGCTGTGCAAATTTTTAATTTTTTCAAACTTTCTATGAGATCGCAGAGAAAAGTAAATCGGGTGCCCCAGGCTTATGGTTTGTTTATAAATAGAGGGTTTCTCCAAATTTCAGGGTTCTAGATCAAAATAGCCGCCCTGTACACAGTAAAGCATTGTGTCTCATAGCAGTCCTGCTAGAATGCGGTCAATAGCTTTGAAGCAGATTTTGACCGTAAGCAGCTGACAGCTGCTTTTCTGACTGCTATGTTGCGATCACAAACATTTGACCTTCATTTCAGTTGTGCATATATTAGTGAGGGCGGAAGTGGTGTAGTGGCAAGTGGCACGCTTACCACGCGAGCGGTCCGGGGATCAAATCCTGGGTCGTGAGTCGCCCGGGCCAACCAAGCCTTCCATCCCTCCGGGGTCGGTTAATTGGTACCAGACTTGTCTGGGAGGATAAAAACACTGACTTGTACATCGGCTGGCCCCCGCAAGTCATTGTATAGGCCACATCGCATTCAAACGCCACTACGAATGTACAAATGGAAGTAGAATGCGTGCCGCATCCCAAAAGGGATTGATCAACGGCAAATGCTTTATCCTTATTATCCTTTATATAATAGTGGTGACACTTACGGCAAAGCTCGGCCATCTTAGTGGTGAACGTGCGGTCTTCGATCTATCTTGCTTTTTGTAGGTTTAGGTCCTATTTCATTCGTTTCTTCGTCCCGTTAGTATTTGATGAGTTCAAATGCGAAAACGCCCCGGTACGAATGGTTGCAGTGGAACTATTCAGTATTCAGTTTGAAAAAGTTTATAGTACTACAGCTTTCTTAGTCATTATAAATATCATGGAGTCGAACAGTGCACGTCGTTCATCGTTGTGAGCATACACGCAAGTCTGTGGTGTCTATGAAGAACAGAGGCATTATGGGTCTCTAAAGCCGGGTAATTGCTAGGAAAAGGGCATTGTGGCAGGGCTTCCATTAGGGGCCATTTACCCAAGGCACACGTCTTATTGTTTGATCTACGCATAGACATCAGTTGTGATTCGTGCATTAATCAGCGATAATTTTCAAGTAAGAATGCTGCAAGTAAGAATGCTGCTTATCACCGCGATAAAGGCATTCGATTGCGTTGACCGGTACAATGACTTGCAGAGTCTAGCCGATGCAGAAGTCAGTGTTTTGTAATCCCAGACAAGTCTGGGATTACAAAACACTGACTTCTGCATCGGCTGGTACTCCGGAAGGGTTGAAGGCTGGTTAGCCTGGACGGTGCATGACCGGGGATCTGATCCCCAGATCGCGCTCGTGGTGCGCTGCTCCGCCTAAGACTACACCGTTTCCCTTCTATTGGCTGTATTAAAGACGGGTAAAATTGGTCATTATTCCTTCTCCCAATGATGAATCCGTTCGCTGATCCGGATGAGCAATCCAAATGACTATGCTTTGGTAAGGCCGCCGTTGTGTGGGCTTTTGACACTTATGAAAAAGATATAGCGATGACCGCTTGTCGCATAAATAATGCGCAGATAAATTGTTTTTTTTTTCTGAGCGATGGACCCCAATCGCTCATCCAAAATGTTGTTTGTGATCATATATGATTAATGCATAACCGCATGGCTCTCTCAAAGAGAAAATATTTCTGAGAATATTTCCTTGCGCTTATTACGACAACGTGACGTGCGGTCGGATTACACCGTACAATAGTGTAACTGATCACTGAAATGACGAGGAACATTGCAATTTTGGTTGAATTCCTGTCCTTAGTTGTACACTTCATTCTTCTCTCTTGTGATCGCGTGCAACATCGTATGTACAGCGACGACCATATCATTCTGTGATATCACCTCACGCCTCTAAAGGAAACTCTGAGTTTAGCCCCATTTTTAAATGTTACCTGGTGAAAGTTCGCAGGCTAACAACGGATGGCATAATAATACCTACGGTGGCTTTCAGTTACATAAGTTACATACTTACGATAACGTATCTGTGATTGCACGCAAAAGACCGAAGACATTAGAGAGAGGCAATGCCGTGTAACCGTTTGAATTGACTGAGACCCAAGGGATATCAGCTGTCCCTCAGAACTTACTTCAATCTCATAGAATGTGACCAGTATATAATAGATCTCATCTTGCCGAGTTGAAAAAGCTATTCGTCTTGTTCGGGACGTGGGACTGAACATAATAGCTCTCTCTCCTTTTTTTCTCTCTCTCTGCTTGCCTCATTGCAGGAACTCATCCCGCGTAGGTACTGCGTGGAGAAGGTTCCTCATCGTACTGTGGATGTGCTTTCGATGGTAGTGTACCTATTGAGGGGCGCTCCGGAGCATGTGTGTTTCTCGATGGTTAATAAGTACACGACTTTAATTACACTTTCTTAAGACAAACGTGGGAACCAGAGAGAACTGGGGGATTTCGTACGCAGAATGAGTCGAAATAATTGCTCATGGTGACATTGGTATTGATATTCTCTAGGCCGACAACACCTGTGATCACGCAAGATTGCTGATGTGGTTCTTTTTCGCACTTTCAACGTATGTACTTTTTCATTTATCCCCACTTCTATGCCCACCCCACTGCGCACCCCGTTTCCTGGGGGTTTTATTCTATTTTTCTCTATTTACTCAGCTGGCCAACATCAGAAAAATGGCTGCATTCGATTCGGCTCACAACTGAAACTCGCTATTTATGAAAGTCTTTCCCGGTCCTTCTCTGTTCTTCTCTTTAATCTTCTGCCCACTCGTGACTTAGGAATTAATCACTTCTTCGACGGTATCGTCTTAGGCCAGATTGCGCCAGATCTGGTGGATGAGTGATAGTCCCGTCACTGTGTACTCTTCGCAAAATGCTGCGTGACTTGGTTTAGTTGCTCTATGATTAATGACCAAGTGCTGCGTATTATATACTGTTACAATGTCTGTACATCTGTTTTTGTAGAGCGATAGGCCGAGGCCTACTGCCACGTGCTGAACATCTCTGGTATGACAAATACGTTTTTCTTTTACATAACGAATTGACCGCCACCTGCTGAACTTCTCCGGGTGACACATACGCTTGTCTTTTATAACGAATCGGCCCAACACGATGGCTGCATCGCGGTGCAGTTGATACACGCATTGTAGTCACAGTTATTGCAAGCCAAGGAGCGGACGGACAGGCGAGATAGGGAGGTGTGTCTGGAATAATGGTGATATTGTTCGGTGGATCTTCAGCGGCTCTCATTTCAGAACCGGCAGGGGCAAATGGAGTTCAGGCAGATAGAAAGCATGTGGAAGCGGTAACCATAATGAGTGAATGTTCATGGGAGATCTTCAGCTCTCCTCTTAGGTTTCTACCAGAGATGCGGGATAAATGGCCTAAGGTTAGGCTTAGCTTAGGCTCCCACAGTTAGCTAATGTTCAAGCCTGTGGATTAAGCTTAAAGGGACGAATTCACGATGAAAAAGCAACCCATTTCAAATTAACCTAGGGATGGTGAGTGGTACACGAAAGAAGGAAGAACCATGAGAAACGGCCCAGAACCCGAGAAATGGTACCCCTTCCTTGCCCGTTGATTCGAGCATTGATGCGACTCTCATCGCTGTGCCCTCTTCAACACTACGCTCTCTCAGCTATCTAATCACTCGCCACGTATTGAACTACGGCGAGTGATCAGATGATCGGTGGGCGGAGATCGCCGGACCGCCAGCTTTGGCATGATAGGTCGCCGAGGTCAAATTTTTCCATGCGAATTGCGCGTCAGTTCGCACCCTCAGGAGGTCCGTGGGTCCCTCAACTAGGTCAGTTTCCCTTTCTTCGACCTTCATTCTAATCGTGAATTCCTCCTTTAAGCTACGAGTAGATTTAGACATTCAGCAGAAGTTCCTCCCAGGGTATGATAGTGGGCTCCCCAAGCACTGAGGGTGCGACGCCAGTAAAGTGCGCGGCAATGGCGCTAAGGCCTTGCCCGCCGCGCTGCCCGCGCTGCCCGCGCCGCCAGCGTAATCCACCACGGCATACGTGGTCTCTGCGTCCTCTCGCGTATGACGTACTATCTCGCGTTCTCCCTCTCCTCGCAGCTGTGTCTCTCCGTCCTCCTAAGGGAAATTTAGTGTTTTCTATGGTGCTTTTTGCTTTTTCTCCTCACTAATGTTCCTCATTGCACCCCTTGCCTAATGTTTGAACAAAATAACGCATCAATTCAATCCCGACTCGTGCCTTTAAGCCCGCTACGAGCAAACCAGAGATACATAAGTTCGCTCTGTATCTAATCTGAGGTGGCCTGACTCCACGATGCAAGTTTATATACAACCGAATCCGTGGATATAAAAAATTGAGAATTTTTTAACACGTTGGCGACAACGCGGAAATCATATGTCCTGCGCCATATCGGATCAAGCGGGGTATATGTTTCCCACAACCAGTAACTTTTTTCGCGCACACCTATTTCATTTATAAGTTTCTTGTATTTGTTCCATGGAAGAAACTTAAATAGCTAAAAACATAGTGGCCCATAGAATGGTCACGTATGCTTTAATTTAGAGGAGGATTTCTGAACCATACGAAATCTTCAGTTTGGTTTACTTTTTCTTTTTATGAATGTGAAGATTTAAATAGTAGTAGAAGTAGATACGGAACCTTAGGGATGACAATATGTGTGTTTTGATTAAAATAATCAACGTAAATTGCTTTTGAGGTCCATTGCAGCTAGTTCTGACAAATTTCGCTTTTTTTTCATTGTTATTTCACGTCTTTCGATCGAAATTCCACTACTGTACCCTTGGGTAGCTTCTGCACACTGAAATTCACTGATCTAGCTTTATTTATGTATTTATCGCTCAAGACCAGCTTGAATTGACGACAGCCTGAGTTTTGGCTTTTCTGGCCGCGTCGGACCAGCGCGATCGTAAAATCGACCAGAAAAGCCAAAACTCGTGCTGTCGTCAACTTGTTGAAAATGTTCTGGATTTTCGACTTTTAGCAATCAGTTACTATCAGAGATGAGCAATGTGAAGTTTTATATTAACGTGTTTTCGTATTAGGCGTGCATAGCACGACTTCTGCTTTGAAATTTCGAACAGATTATGTCTGGAGGGGGAGGAGTCTATTTCGTCGCACAACAGCCATCTGTTCTTTGCGTGGCATTAAATGATCCGCAGAAGTTGTAGTTAGACAGGGCGCTTAATGGTGAAATCGCCATACAAAATCCATCATTGCATCCCATTCTCGTAGTTCGCAAGGTAGTGTTGTCAATCATATTCGTGCCTAGCCCTCAGATTCGCTGGAACAGGGTGATTTATATCCGCCTACTTGAGAAATTCTGCTATATTTGGATTTGCGCTGTCTTCTCTGTCGTTGTCGTGGGAGCCCTCCTCGATTTCGGAAGCATTGCATGTATCAATTGTTTTGTGACAGGTCATAGCATAATCCCTCTAAATTGCACATTTACTGAAAAAAAGCAAAAGCGTATATTTCCTTCAAAGATCACCATTAGTGAGTACGAGAATTGTTGGGCGAAAATAGTGAATGAAGTATCGCATGATTGTGGTGTTTAATGTTTCTTACTACCACTAGGACGGGAATGCAGGTAAAGTCGCGAAAAAGTAATTTGAACTTCAGACAATTTGGGTTCCCCCTTGAAAACTAGCATTTGCTCGGTATAGCGTTTGTGGCTATTGGCGAACTCGGACTTCTAATTTTTACGCATGTCATTGCCTGCCTCATCTCCACCCTGTCCCTCTCTGAACTGCTTTCTGTTGGTTCGTGAAGCTCGTGCGATCAGTCATATAATGTTACGATCGAGAGAGTGGCTGCAGATGTTGCCGCGCGCCCAGGGCATGCGGCCGCCGGTCAACCAACAGTTGCCACTCTCTGCAAAGTTGTTGAGCCCCCCTTTAAAGCCCTTGTGAGGCTGTTGTTTTAGCGCATGGCCCTCTGAAATGGTCTGGACTTCTGCATAGATTTGTTGATAGAAATGTTAATTTCCTCGCGGCACTCACCTACAATCATCACCTGAGGAGTTGCTTACTTCAGCTCCAGGTCAGCGCCTTCTATGAGGATGAGAAAATAAAAATTCCAAAATAAGGCGAAACGTTAACCTCCTCTGCGATTACGGTGAAAAGTATATCCCATGATGAATGGAGCAGTTTTCTAAATTTTTATTTCTTGTTCCACCTTAGGAATCGGCGAATGCTCTCCGAGCTAATTTATATGCCTTCTAAGAATATTTTCTTGGTCTCATAGTTCATTACACATGTCACGAATATTCCGGGATTATTGAGGGGGCGGAAGTGGTGTAGTGGCAAGTGGCACGCTTACCACGCGAGCGGTCCGGGGATCAAATCCTGGGTCGTGAGTCGCCCGGGCCAACCAAGCCTTCCATCCCTCCGGGGTCGGTTAATTGGTACCAGACTTGTCTGGGAGGATAAAAACACTGACTTGTACATCGGCTGGCCCCGCAAGTCATTGTATAGGCCACATCGCATTCAAACGCCACTACGAATGTACAAATGGAAGTAGAATGCGTGCCGCATCCCAAAAAGGGATTGATCAACGGCAAATGCTTTATCCTTTATTGAGCTTTGTGGGGTCAAAACCTGATCGTTGTTGTGGTGGCGCAAAGTGGACTTCTAGTTGAAAGAAAGCGTGGAAGCCGCTGGAAACCCTAAAAAAGCTCTGTTTGGGGCGTACCCGTTCAGTGCCGTGGTTCAAGAGAAGCACAGTGTAAGGGACACAGGGGCCGAGGTGGGAGGACAGTCGTGGAAGCAAGGAAGCATACAAATCGCCGAGTCAACAGAAATTAAGATGGGGGGCGTGCTCTGATGTGATGCCTGGGGTGCATTGATACAAGTCATAACCTCCCAGCGCCCTTGCCGACGGTCTCAAGTGGCAGCACTTCTGCGGTTTCCAAGTGTGCTACCTTATTCACAGGATGGATTGGCACTTTCCACCTCGTCCATATGTTCCGGCTCGTCCCTATGCGCCAGGTCGTCTTTATGCTCCTCCATCCCATCCCTATGCTCTTCCACCCCATCCTTATGCCTTTCCTCCTCATCCTTATGCCCTTCCACCTCATCTCTGTGCTCCGCCCGGCTATCCCTATGCTCCCTTCCCTTATCGTGGACCGTGGCAAGTAGGTGTTTAAGAACATTCCACTTTGCTTTAAGTTTCCAAAAAAAATTTGGCCAACGCGGCCTAAGCTTGAGGATAGCGAATCGAGCGCATAGTCTAACTACACTTGTCTCTAGGTTAAGCTCGAAGGAATCATTGTTGAGAGTAGTTTGTGGACAAATGGCAAATATTTTCGTTTTCGAATGCTGACGTGTCCTTTGTTCAACGTGGCGCGCCATATTAGTACTCTTTTTGCAGACAACCCAGGCGATGCTCAGTGGTCTCGATCAAAATACTCTCATGCAGATCCATCAATTGTTTGGAAATGACGAAGTGGGTTTTTTATTGTATTATTCATTACCACTTTAGCTCTGCACGCTACCGCACGCGTGAAACGAAAGGCTTGGGTGAATATGGGCTGCAGGTGGAGCTTTAGATCCCATCACTAAACAATGTATTGCTTTACCAAACGCGTCAGCTGACCGTTCTATAGGCTGCCCATCTCTGCAGAAGCTCACCGTTCGATACACGTGATAGTGCAAGGTCAAAATGGTGTCCTTAAACAAACACTATGCATCGAATGCCAGTATAATTTAGCGGAAGAACAGTATTTGATGCCAATGAAAGAAATAGAAATACCCAGTACTCATTAATGTATTTCTTCAAACATCCACCAAACATTCTAGGTACTGCGGGGAGTGTAGCTAGCGGTCGAACGGTATTTCGGGCTGAGGATGATAATCAAATGAAGTGATATTGAAATGAAATACTTATCTTTGAGTGATCTTTTTGTCCTTACGCACATCGTTATCACCCTTTATCAGTCGTTATCACTTTCTGTCCCCACCAACATGTTCCCGTCCTACCCTCTACATCACTTCTTGGAACCAACGCCTCACTGCTGCTGGGACGCGCGCTATGGATATCGTGAAATTTGCGTTTGGCGCCTCTTATCAGCCCTTATCAGACATTATCACTTTTTTTTTCCCCATCCTATCCGTCCTACCGGCTACAACAACATATAGCGCTCCTCTGTTGCAGTGAAGCGCGCTATGATTTTTGTGATAGACAGATACACACACACGCACAGACATACAGACATGCCACAGCAACAGACAAACTTATTGAATTACAAATAGTGGATTCTTTCATGGACATCTGTAGATGTGTACCAGTGCTTCTTGAGTGATTTCAGAGCCGTACTCCACCCAACCCTCGTGCCATCTTAGAGCAGTATCAGCAACAACAACGAAATTATCAACAGGTATTGATAGTTAACATGGAATGATCTCATGTTTACATGTTTGCAAGTTCGCCATGAAAACTGTGATAGAGCTGCTCTGCATCAAGCCTTTTTCCAACTAGTTTGACCGCACCACAATTTAAGCAAAGCACAAACTGTAGTTTTTGGTTTGTTTCGGTCTGATTTAGATACCGTTAACTTCTGATATTCAGTATCAGCAGCAGTTCGTTCAACAGCAACCTTCAATGGACCAGTTGTATCTTACATATTCGCAGTTGTCCGAAGCAGGTTTGACTTTTTGAGACGATTCTTGCTTTCGTTTTGTGATGCGTGTTCCCTTTTGTGCTCTGAAACATTCAATGTTCAGGATTCTGTCCTGATCTAGTTTAGTCCATTTTTCTTGAGTGGAGCTGTGGTCTTTGTAATCAACTTATTGTAGATCTGAATCGAATTTATCCAACCGTTGACATAGCCACTCGATGTGTTATAGAATTTATCCTCCAACACAAGAAACAAACAGCTACCCTACAAATGCGACAGCAACGCAGCTATGCTGGTATGTATCCCTTTCAAATTATTTTGTTCCTTTCAAATTATTTTGTTATCTTTTACTACTTTCAAACAATCGTGGTCTTTCCGTGGCCTCTCCGTTGACTTCGGGCAACTTGGCTTCGTAGTTGTGCGCTTTCTGTCAGATCTGATTATGTAATGTTCAGTAATAACATACGGTAATACGGTATATAAAAACCAATCTAATCGGTTTGACAGTCGCGATCTGGTTGCTTTCCATGCCTGTGCGATCAAGTAGGTCTCAAATACCTTCTTATTGCCACCACTGACATGAAATCGTTGTTTCTGCTGGTGAAGATGATATCAAAAACACTTAACTTTGCTTAGAAATGAAGTTTATCAATTGTACGCGCTCAAGAAAGAGTGGAGGTCTCATAAGTGTAATCGGCGTCCTGCTGCTTTCAGTGAGCTGGTGGTTAGGTGGATAGCGTATTGGGCTTGCATTTGCACGGCAGGGTACGCTTTGTGATTCAAGTCCGCTCCATGGCGTGTTTTTGCGTTTTTGATTGTCGCCTCCAAATCGGCATCAAGTTGCTTCAGCGCTGAAATTGATGTTATGGTTTTCTTTCGTAAACTGGCGGATTAAATCCGCAGCTCCGAAACTGGCGCGAAATGGCGCCGGTGCAAAATGGAACCCCATATCCGTGATCAGGACCCTGATTGATGCACACAGACAAAACTTCAGAGACAATCGATATTTTGACCTAACATGAAGAAGTGGAGATGATCATGGGCTTCTACAGCTCGTCATGAATGCGGCGGGCCACTTGAAGACGAGCGCGAAGCGGAAATCAAGCTCAGTGCCCTAATAATTCGAGGAAATCAAAGCTTGGTTCCATAAGGAACAACTCCTACTGGGTCAAATCTACCAATCTTACCAAGACCAATCGGGTCTCCGCTATATTTTTGGCCAGGTAATATATAGATGCTGATTGAGTTGTGTCGTTTATTGCGCGCGGTGCGGGGATCAAATCTTTGTACGCGGTCCAAGCCAACCAAGCCTCCATTCCGGGGTCGCGTGTTTGGTAGTAGGCTGATCTGAGGGATAAAACCGCTATCTTGTGTGTCATCTGATCTATCAAGTCCTTGTGTAGACCAAATCGCATTCAAATGCCCCTGCGACTCTGAATGGAGCGCCGAATGTTCTTTATCTTTAATTCCCGTGTTCCCTTTTTGAAAAAAAAAACGAAATAAAAAAGTGCGGAGCATTCGGCCTCCTTCGCTGATTAGAGTAGTGAAATCTTTGGCAATGACTAATCTCTTTTGGGATGCGCCACGCTTTCTACTTTCTTCGAGTCGTCGTGGCATTCGAGTGCTATACAGACTATTCTTTGACTTCCGAGGCCTTGTATAAGTTAGGGCTCATATTCTCCTAGACAGGTCTTGTGCCAACAAGGTGATCTCACAGTAGTGGGAGGCTTGGTTGGCCTGAGCGAGATGTGACCTAGAATTTTAGCTCTGGAAAATGTGCGGGTATGTGGCTCCACTGCGCCAACCTCGCCCTTCTTCGCTGAACACTAGTCAGCATTTGCAAATCTTCTTTAGTTTTGAAGAATTTGCTCACGAGTATCAACATAATGTTTCATCCAGAAAGCGCTTTCCCTTATCAGACATTATCACTTGTTTTTTCCCCATCCTATCCGTCCTACCGGCTACAAAAACATATAGCGCTCCACTGTTGCAGTGAAGCGCGCTATGATTTTTGTGATAAACAGACACACACACGCACAGACATACTTAGTGAATTATATATAGTGGAATTCTTCATGACATAGTAGATTGTACCATTGCTCTATTGAGCTGATTTCAGAGCCGTACTCGTGCCATCTTAGAGCAGTATCAGCAACAACAACGAAATTATCAACAGGTATTGATAGTTAACATGGAATGATCTCATGTTTACATGTTTGCAAGTTCGCCATTGAAAACTGTGATAGAGCTGCTCTGCATCAAGCCTTTTTCCACTAGTTTGACCGCACTACAGTTTAAGCAAAGCACACTGTAGTTTTTGGTTTGTTTCGGTCTGATTTAGATATCGTTAACTTCTAATATTCAGTATCAGCAGCAGTTCGTTCAACAGCAACCTTCAATGGACCAGTTGTATCTTACATATTCGCAGTTGTCCGAAGCAGGTTTGACTTTTGAGACGATTCTTGCTTCGTTTTGATGCGTGTTCCCTTTTGTGCTCTGAAACATTCAAATGTTCAGGATTCTGTCCTGATCTAGTTTAGTCCATTTTTTGAGTGGAGCTGTGGTCTTTGTAATCAACTTATTGTAGATCTGAATCGAATTTATCCAACCGTTGACATAGCCACTCGATGTGTTATAGAATTTATCCTCCAACACAAGAAACAAACAGCTACCCTACAAATGCGACAGCAACACGCAGCTATGCTGGTATGTATCCCTTTCAAATTATTTTGTTCCTTTCAAATTATTTTGTTATCTTTTACTACTTTCAAACAATCGTGGTCTTTCCGTGGCCTCTCCGTTGACTTCGGGCAACTTGGCTTCGTAGTTGTAATTTCTGTCAGACTTTTGCCTACGCTTCGATTTGAGAGTCTGATTATGATAATGTGGAAGATACGGTATATAAAACCAATCACTAATCGGTTTGAAGTCGTGATCTTGCATTTCCCATCCTGTTGATCAAGTATCTCAAATACCTTCTTGTTGCCACCACTGACATGAAATCGTTGTTTCTGCTGGTGAAGATGATATCAAAAACTTAACTTTGCTTAGAAATGAAGTTTATCAATTGT